TTAAAGTCAAAGCTTAAGTTACAGCAGTGCAGTGCAAGAACAGCTGGTTTTCTCTGGTTGTTGCGCGAGCAAAAAGTCTGTGCAGACCTTGACTGGGTTGTTCAGGGTTTGAAAGTTTTACAAAAATGAGAATAGGGAAGACCTAGAAAACACGTTTTGGAAGGCTGTAAGACTCATTGTCCGCGGCAACGTGCAAGAAGACTGCAGAAAGCGGGGAGATGTGCCTGCTTTTGCACGACCCTGAAATCTGGAAAGCGGGGCATCTAAGGGAGACCGATGTTGATATGAGCCAGGAAATTCATTGCTGAACGGCACTTGCCGACTTTTAACCTGTTGGTTCAGTACATTTCGCCGATTATTGGTTGTTCTTTGATTCCACGACCATTTTGCAGAAATTGCATTTTCTCCTACAAGATATGGCGGAAATCACGTAAGCGCAATGAACGGTTCGTTTTGACGCTGTCTAGACGTTATTTTAGGCATGCTACTGTGAGTTTACAAACCGCAAAGCAAGTCCGTTCAGAAACTAAAAATACAAAGCGGCTCTCTGCAATTGGTAGAAACGACAAAGAGGCGTTCTGAGTCTGAAGATGCGTTGTCTAGTTTGAAGACCAGCATGGACTGCCAACTTGGAGCGTCAGCTGCGGTCCCCACAAAGCCAACCAAGAAACAAACAAAAACGGCCAAGGGCGGGACACTACGCGCATGGAAAGCTTTGAACACAGTTGGAAACTCAAGAGCTGGTTTTTGGCAGGGCGTGGAAACCTTTAAACTTTTTGGTTCTGTACTATCTTTGATTCCAGGGTTTACGTGATCGAGCCTTCTTGTAGATGGCCTGCGCAACTTGACATCGAACTTGCAAAGCCATGAATCCAGGAAAGCCATAAACAACTGAAGCTTACAGTAGTAGAATAGTAGAACAGTAGCAGTACAACAATACAGTTGTACAGTGGGAGTACAACAGTACTACAACAGCATTGCAGTAGTACAGTGGTAAAGTAGTAGTACATTCGTAGAACAGTAGAAGTACAGTAGTAGTACAGCAGTAGAACAGTAGTAATGCAGTAGTAGTACAGTAGTAGTACAGTAGTAGTACAGTAGTAGTACAGTAGTAGTAGAGTAACAGTACAGTAGAAGTGTGGTTCGAGGGTTCAGTGATACCTAGAGCTGTTCAGCCTATTAGCGGTGTTTGGGGATCACCCAAAGCTCGAAACTAAACTCCGATCACTCCAAAATATCCACCAGGACTACCAACCTTTCATTTTGAAGACTTTTTCCCCCATCTACATGTACTGGTGGTAGTAAGACAGTAGTAGTAGTAGCAGTAGTAGTAGTAGTAGTAGTAGTAGTAGTAGTGGTAGTAGTAGTAGTAGTAGTAGTAGTAGTAGTAGTACGGCTTTAGTACAGCAACAGTACAGTTAAAGTAATAAACAAAAACAGTACAGTAGTAGTACAACGTTACAGTAGTAGTACAGTAGTACAATGGTAGTACAGCAGTTGTAGTGCAGTAGTATAGTACAGCACAGTTCAGTAAAGGTTTTAGGGTTTGCCCTTTATTTGGTTAAGGGTTTAGGGTGCAGGGTTAAGGTTTAGGGTGTAGGGTTAGGGGGTTTTAAGGTTTAGGGAAGGCGTCGTTTTCAGGGGCGAAATTGTGGGTGTCTTAAGATTGACCGTGAGCAGAAAGGAAGCGAACAGCAAAAAGCAATCAGCCTGCCAAGAAAAATTGCATTAAAGACACCCCCCCAAGATACTTCAAACGAAATCTTCAAGCAAAGCAGCAAATTATAGATGCCCGCCTCGCTAAAGGGCCGCCGCATTCATCTTAATACAAAGTCGCAACAGCTGAAACGAAACGGATGTAACATTGCAGCATGTCATCAATATGTGTCATGCAAATGTTCAGGGCAAGAAGCTCGCAGCACCACCTGCCGAAGCTACTTATCCCGGTCCCCACCCGAACGGTGTGTTGCACTCGCCATGCATCTGCATCGTTCCGGCTTGCAACCATTGTAGCACTAGCCGAATGTCGCAACGTTGGTTCGAGCGTTTGTGAGTACGTATGGCATGACAACGCTCACGGGATTGTGTGGACATATGGACAATGTCGATCAATGAACGACAAGACGTGCTAACTTTGGTCCCAATGCACATGGTAGAGCAATGTTGCAAATTCACAAACAAACCGTTAAAATAGAACGTTTGTTGGATTGCTGCTGACCTGTTCTGGCGTATTACCCATTCAAGCTCCGTCACGGTTGCGGCCAAAGAATCACGACAACATTCGATTCCTTCCGGTCTATACTGGTTTGGCCTCGTCCCTGATGAGGTATGGCAACGCAACATAAGGAGGCGTTGGAAAAGATGCGGCTTGCTCGTGGGAGCCTCGTTTTTTTTCATTGCCATGTCCGGCATGGCGACATGGCCATGATACTAAATTCAGCAGTGATGAAGGCTCCGGCGTGTCGAGTTTGGACCAGTACGTTGTTCCGGACTGATTGCAATATTATTCTGGGAGTGGCCGGAGTTGCGAGACGGTGCGGCATGTTGCCCTGTGCAATACACGCTTCGTTTGTCTCGTCAGCGCAGGAACCCAAGAAAATCCTGCAAGAGGCAAGGTTCTGACTGTTGCACGCATGTCGAAGACATCTATTGATCGGACAGTTGCTGTCGGATTGTTGCGGCTGTTGTTTTGAACGGTCGGGTAGGCGATTGTCCGGTGTGATGCTGCCCTGGTAATGCAGGTTTCGGAAGAGGAGTACCAGACCATCGTAACAGAACGAAAGAGCGACTGGGCTTGGGGCTCGGGTTTATAAGTGTCATACCACTAGGCATTCGAGCTCACTGTTTCTACCAAGGCCGACGCAGCGAGCTATAAAGCAGGTCGTGTGGCGTCCATGGTCATGTTGGTGCGGCAGATTAAGGTCGTCGGGCAAGATTCTGGCTACGTGGATGGCCCGCGTCCGTTTGCAAACGATGCCACGTTAGGTCGCAGCTTCTACGTGCATGCATGTCTGCACCCAGGTGGAAAAGAGCTGTGGCAAGGACCAGCGGCAGAAAAAGACTCGGCTTCCGAATGCGGCAGTATAATGCTTCTTGTGTGTGCATTTCATGTCCTCCATGCTGAGGCAAAAGAGCGTGCTCGTGAGGATGAGCTGGAAAGGCAGGGAAAGACATGCTTTCGTCAGGGGAAACATCCCTAACAGAGATGCAGGCTCAACATTCAACCGTAAGAGAAGCTCGTGCTCGCAGCCCATGCCAGGCGTCAGTTGAAGGAGTTGGGCATCGATCTTGGCAGCAGGAAGCCAAAGCAGAAGGCACGATTCGTAGGCTAAAGACGTGGGGTCGGTATTGCTTAGCTTGAGTGAGGATGCCTTCCATTCGCTGCAGTCTTGGCGTAATTCGGTAACCAGGAGACTCCAGTGCAACCACAAGCACCACCAGGTCGCAGTGTCCCCGTCTTAGTTCGATCATGTGCTCCTGGCGTGCTAAGCTCCAATATTTCCTGTTTGCGACGTCATGTGACATATTTCTGGCAACTTTTGACCTTGCTTGTATGTACATGTTGGGCCTGTTAATTTTAGAAGCTCATGTCGTGTGGGCAAGCCGAGACGTTGATGACATGAAACCACACGATTCCAAGGCTCTCTTGGGAGCACTGCACAAAGGTGTTGCTTCCCCAGGAACACTCTACAATGGCAGAACTGGCGTGAGTTGTTCGTGGTCAGGCCAGTGGACCCCCGGAAGCTCGACCACCTACTTCCAAGAAGGCAATGTGCCTCACTTTTGGGCCTTTTGTTGGCGCTGGAATATCAGCGATGAAAGCTTTCTTGAAGTCTTTGGGCGCGTTTTGCTCAGTGAATGTGTGGTTGTGTCGCTGAGCAAGTCCATCCGAGCCTTGGCGACTCTTGAAGTGACAGGAGCAAGAGAGAGCGGTAGATGCTTTGCACGGACCTCGAAATGGAGACACAGTCATGTGCTTTGTGAGACCAGCAGTATTCCATAAGTGTGTAAGATTTGTTGCACCAGCTGTGATGGTGACAGTGCAGTGATCCCTTCTGAAGCTGTTGTGGCACAAAGATAAAGGACGTACGGCATGTCTTGTCATCCATGAAGTGTAATGTGCACAAAGTCTCAGCGAAAGTGGCAGAATCATCCCTGGAGAATTTCGGCCGGCGTGATTTCACGTCGAGTCACGATGAGACTTGGACCGAGAGGAGAAGCTTTTTGCAAACGGATGTGCAGCTTCTCCAGCAGATAAATGCATCCCAGGACAGTTCTTCGTACGTCTGTCAAGAACACATTCCTGGAGGCAACAGTTGAACCCGCTCAAGACACAGGGCAGTCCGTGGCACTGGCGAGCAATGTGAGGCTTTCGAGTCCGAACAGTCTCCTGCTGCACAAACTACGGGCATGCAAAGATCGTGTTCTTGCAGTGATCTGCTGGATTCTCGGATTGAAGCTTTGTCGTGAGCTCAAGCAAATGGCGGACACTGACAGGCCGGATGATGCCTTCAGATCCCAATCCGATGCAGATGCAGGACTGAAGTGACTGCAGACACGTGAGACTGCAGTGCAAGCCGCAGCGGCAAAAGGACCGGAGGAGACCCAGTCAGAGCTGGAGCCCAGACCCGGCGGACCGAAAGGTTACAGATTGGTGGTCGGCAGCCCGGAGAGTAGACCACCAAGCGTGCAGAGTGCATGCGCATGAGGTCAAGAACACGTTTGTGGAGGTGCAGGACATTTTTTTCGTTTTGATGCAGACATGACGGACTTGCACAACGACTTGGAGACTTTGTTGATGCAGGAAGACGACACCCCCACACAGTTGCGCAGAAGCTTGTCAGATGGCGACATGCAGGTCTGCAGTAGAGCATCTCGCCCCATGGATCCTTGTTTCCATTGAGTTTGTGCGATGGTAAGAACACGTAGGCCACGTTTCAGAGGGCAGACGGCAAGTACGGAAAAGAGGCGTGCTCTTCGTCGCAGGCTACATATGACGACACAGAAGGCGAAGCTTGCGAGGATCAACATGAGCGGTGCTCACATTGCCCGCCGGAGCCAGACCAGGCTTCTGGCCCGGGGCCTGGGCTGTGCTCTTTGCATCACCACTGTTTCCCTACAAGTTTCAGGTAATCAACAGAAGATGTAAATGCTTGGGAAGGTGGTTTAGCTAGACATGGTCAGGCGTGGGAAGCGCTTTCAAACTCGATGCGTTACCTCCGAAGCAGCACCTGCACAAACGATCCAGTACAATGACCCGAGTCATGCATGTCGATCATTATGCAAAAGAATCAGGATTTGTTTCTGGTTATTATTCCCTGCAGTAGATGATTCGACGTACATGATGCACTCTGTATTTCATCAGCGGTTCATCGGCTGCATGACACAACAGCGATGTCTTGAAGAGCTTGCTGACTGTTGCTTTGGCGAGCTGTGCTGTGATTGGTGCAAGCAGGTGCTGTGTTTGGAGGCAGCCGTTCCTAGTTGCGAGCGGAATGCAGCGTGTTACACTCAGACTGATCCTCCAGGGTCAAAACATGTCCTTGTCTTTTGCAGCGATATCTGATTTTCATGCGCAGGTCACATCAGCTGCCTCAACAGCCGACGCAAATAGTCGCAGGCCTGCTGCGACTGCGAAGGGTAGCTGCAAGATTTCCAGCCACATAGAGTCTGTGTTTTTCTCAGTCGTATCACGATCATGCTGTTTCGAGCCTCTGTATCAGAGTAAGATGTGGTGCGATATGCGTATTTCTGTGATGTTTCACGACTATTCACGACTTAAACTCATGACCAGCGTCCGGTGGGGGAGGCTCCACGGCTCCTCCGATGCTCAACCATGCAGCTTATTCCACCGTTCCGGACCAAGGACGATCGCGTCATTTCCTCTTACTTGTCTTTGCATGTCTTTGCTTGCCGACCTTGAAGTTCGTGATGTCAGTGTTAATCTTGGCAGATGCCCTTGTTTGAATCTGTAGCGGACCTTCAGGATAGTCTTCCCACTTTCCCACTGCATTGCATCGTTGAGTTACCATCGCTTCGTTGGAGGCTCCAAATGGAGATGTGTCGTAAAGATCCCACTGCGAGCGCAAGAGCAACAGAAAGAGCTGGAGTTGAGGATGATGCATGACTTGTGTAATCTTGTGCGAATCGTCCCTGAAGCTCGGTGCTCGAGCAGCAAGCATGCTCCTTCCGTGCACAAACTGCTGACAAGCGTGAGAAGCAAGCGTCTTGAAGTTGAGCGGGGTGCGTGGCAACATGGTCATGCGTCGGTTCGAGTGTCCCAAACCGTTTCGCTCCAGGATTTGCTGGCATCACGTCATTCGCTGCGGCTCTGGGGGCCAGCATTGCACTGGGAGTTCCGCCTCTCGTCCGTCAGTACCCACCTAGATGTCTGTAGTGATGACAGTCCGTTGTTGCTGCTTCTGCAGCCAGGTTTGCACCACAGCTCTGGGCCATGCAGAATATGGCCGCTGCACAATCTGCGGCAGTTCAGGCTGGCAGCAGGGTCCCTGAAGGTACTTTACATGGCTTGTAGTACTGTGCTGGAGTCGATGTTCGTTGCATGCAATTCTAAGTCTGCTACCCTTGGGCTTTGCGTCTAGCAACTTGACCATGTTGTTGAGCTGCTCCCTGCTCGCTTGAGGTCCTGCTTTGGTTCAAGATCTGCAACATGATGTAGCTCTGGGCGTTTAGTCTAAAAAGGCACAACTGCACTTGTTCACATGCAGCTCATACTAAATTCCAGATGCCCACGCCGGATGACAATGAGCAGTGTATCCTACATCATTTTTGCATATCCCATTCTTCTGTGGCAGAGCTAACGGATTGACTTCTTTTGGCGGCAATGCTTCTGCCACGTCATAAAACTTACGCTCCACCAGAGTGGACGTGTCCTAATTGCCGGCGAGGCTTGCAAACCCTGGATTGCTGGTGCGGAAAAGCACTCACAGACGAGCCTACTCCACCGCTCTTCCAAGACCTATTCAAGAGCCAAAGGCATTACGACCAGATCTTGCGGCAGGAGCCCTTCGCCGAGATGCGGCTGAGATTGTTGAGCAAGGGACAGCGCCAACTAAAATCTCAGGGAGACTATTTGTTGAGCCACATGGGTTTGAACCAACATCAGGTTCAGACTTGGAAGGACGCAGACACCGAACGCAGACAGAGACTCTTGCGGACAGCATCACTGCCCAGTGAGGACGCACGGAGTACTTTGTCTTGCGGGACACTGTCGTCTGAGAGGCCCTCGACATCGTATTCTTTTCGTGAGCGACGTGTGCCACAAGATCCAGTTCAGGCAATTATGATGAAAGGTCCACCATCTTTCTCTCCTTCCATGGCTGGCCTTGCATCTGCGGCTTTAATTTAAAGTTTTGAACGTGTTCCGAGTGTTTCACACTCCGTCGGCCTTTCAAGATTGAAAGGGCCGGTCGCTTCGTCGCATTAGCTGCATCCAAAGGACGCAAAACGAGGCTTTTGTTTGCGTGAAGCTGCGAAGAAGCACAGCCAACAGCTTCTTGTCTCGTGATGGCCAGGCTAGAACCCGCATGGCTACGGGCCACGAGGCGAATGCAGTGGTACAAGTCACACCAGAGCCTAGGCCGCATATCGTGATCGCCACAGTCCGATGCTAACATTAGCTCGAACCTTGCCTGTCGGAGCCAAGGTCAAGTCAAGAAGGCGCCGTGTGCGTGGCGGTGGCCGGGCATCCCCAAAGGACCACCATGGACCACCTGCACACTTAGGCTGAGACTCCAGGCCTTAGGCCTTAGGCTTTGTGCTGGGCCGTGTGTTTCTTGCAGGAAGCGGGGTCTGTCAGCTCCAGCTCCATCACACCCGAGTCTTGGTCGTAATTCATGCACCTCTCGTTGGCGGAACAATGCATGTGGCTCCATGGCCTGCAGGAGAAGTTGGAAAAGCCAGCTGGCAGGAAGACGACCCAGAGCAAGACATCTTCGAAGGATTGCCGACGAGTCAGTGTTCCGATTTGGGAGTCTTGAGAGCCAGTGGAACTAGTCAATCCGCCGTGTATCCTACCGTGTGCAGCATGTTGTTCTGGTTTCGATTCCATTTGCAGACCTGGTTGGACAGTCGATCCAAGTTGTGGGGTTTGACGTTCATTGTTTTGATAGGCGATGCAATTCACTACAACAGATGCAGCCGCTGCATCTACCTCAAATGTTGCGGGCTTGGGCTGCCTTGTCCGCAGTGCATGTCTGCCTTCAGATGGTGTAGTATTGCGAAGGTGCCGCTACCTGTTGGCTGCGTCCAGGCGAACAGCTTCCATCTTGTGCAACTGGTCTCCGTCTTTGCATTACGGTTCGAGGTATTCCAAAAAGATTCAGAGTCGGTACCTTCCTTGAGCCAGCGTTTGGAGGCAGCTGCATCCCAAACTTGACTTGTTTGTAAGAAGATGCGGGCTTGCCTAGTTTGTTTCAGGCGTTCCACGCACAGCGAACAAAGCAAGGGGAGGCCACAAAGTTTCTCACGACTGAAGACACCTTGAGTCCTGTAGCGCATAGTTTCAATGTCGGAGCTTGCAGGTGGCGGCTGCATTGGCAAGCTGCTGGGTTTGACTTTGTCATGCTTTTTCCCCAACAGTATGGGGTTCCTGCGTCAGGGGGGCAATTGATCGAGGTCGTCGCGCAGCGCGCACGCAACAATGGCTGAACGCGTCCCATTATTTAAATGCTGATAATCTGATTGCCGCGTCGCATTGCTTAATTGTTTACACAGGATGTGTCGGACGGCCGTCTCCTGCTGTGGTGCGGTGCGTGCTACTCACGCCCCTGGGCCAGGATTCAATGAATATACGATACGAACCGCTTTTGGCTCTCGAAAGCCATGAATGGCAGCGCTGCCTGGGAAAGAAGGATTCTGGGTGTCTCTCTGCATCCCACAAGCTAAGGACGGGAAGCATGCATCTCGTGTTGTCTGGGGGAAAGTAGTTTCGCGTTCCGCAAGCACTTGGGGGAAAGCATCTGAATCTTGCCAGTACTTGGGAAAACTCTCCGTGCATGGTCCCCAAGGGGCCAACACTGCTGCCAAAGCATCCTTGTCTCGCTGCTGGTCTGCTGGGGTATGCTGGGGTCTCCTGGTGGTCTCCCGGTGGCCTCTTGGTGCGTCTCCTAGTCGTCTCCTTGTGATTTTCTCTGGTGGTCTCCTCGTGGCGTGTTGGTGGTCAGCTGGTCTCCCGTGACGAAAGAGTTATTTCTGTGAAATTTGTGTGAGCGAGAGTGTCAGCGGAATTGCGAGGTTGAGCGCGAGCGGGGATTCTGAGTGTGCGAGGAAGTGTGAGGTTGAGTGTCAGAGGGTGAGCGCGAGCGGAGCGGGCAGGGGGGCGGGGCAGACACTCTGGGATCCCGCTCACACTCCCGCTCACTCACAGTTTTTTGCTGTAAAATTGTTGTAAAATATAGCAAAAAAGTGTGAGCGCTCACACTCCCGCTCACAATCTGAGCACAAAATTGTGAGCGGGAGTGACACACTCCCGCCCACACTTCTGCTCACATTTCATGCCCACGCTTTCGCTCACACTTTCTCTCACACTCAAGCTCATGCTCTAATTCAGAGAACAGTTATTTCAAGTTATTTCCTTGCTTCCAGCGCTTGCAAGGCAGCACCACTCACAAGGCGAGTAGTTGTGACCTTGCATTTCCTGAGCATATTGAACAACCGGACCGGCGGTCGCGACTTCCTGGTACTGTCCGTCAGTGTTTAAGAATCTCCGGTGGATTAATTCGGAGAGCGCATCTGCCAGCCGTGGACGAAGTAAGGCTGCGATAGCTCTTCGTCATCCAGTGAGGAGGATCTCAGCAGCTTCCTGCCTTTCCTGATCTAGGACTCCATGTCACAATGTTGAGCTGACCCTTTGCAGTTCTTCCGCTGCAATCCCATCATATCCCATTTGAGGTGGCGAGTGCGATCGCGTCTATGCAGAGCTTCATGTGCCGCGGCTTAGTGCCATGTGTCGGGCACATGCCCAATACCTTCACGAGTTCATAACTTGCAAGGGGTGCCAGCTATGAGGCACGCATTCATCGACAGTGCAAGCATCTGCGAGCAACTGGCAGACAGGCGTGCCTGCATGTCCTCACGGAATCCGCACCTGTCGCTTCCCTTGCCCAGGCATGAATCTGGAACCGTTCCTTCGAGCCTTCTTTGCTGCAACTGCAATTTTTCATTCTGAGGGTTTTTTTGTGGGCACATTTCAGTGGACCAGGCTTCTTCTGCAAACCGCCAGACTGGTTGCAAAAAGAGCATGCGTAATTTATGCAAGTGCAACGGCGGCAACGGTACGAAGCCTCGATCGGTCCGACTGAGCGGGAGAGGGCAAGGTATGCGGTCCTGGGGACATGAGCGCTGGCCTTGCGCCTGTGGGCGGAGCTTCTTCGAGCATTTCGGTGTAGCGGAGTGAAGCTGAAGTGAAGATAGACGAGACATGATAACGTACTGCCGTACTGCCTGCTTCCGACATGATATGGAGGTTCGTTGATCATGACATATCATGAACTTACAGATGATTTGAAAGAATTGCTGCAAAATGTCTGAAGACAGCTCCGGTGACTTCCGCGGCTGAGCTTTCTCCTCGCTTTGCCGGGGGTAGCACTGAGAGAAAAGCCTGTACATATGACGTGGTTTGCACATGTTTACACATGTTTACCACATCACTTCAGCAGTTTCAGGCCACCGGGGACCGGGGCCCCACCCGCGTGTCAAGGTTCCAAAACGAGGTGCTGTCACGGCACTGGGCGTAACCATGTCCAGGGTTGTGCAGTCGGATGTCGACTTGCAAAGGCGTAAAGGGTAGTTACTTGTGTCCTTTACAACCCACTCTTTGGTTGCCGGTAGCTCTTAATGGAACAGTGGGTACGAGAGCAGGGTATCCTTGCTAATTCATGAAAATTCGATGCATGAGTCTTGCACCAACTGTGAAACGCTTGCTCCGCGAGTTCTTCGGGACACTTCGCGAGATTTTCTCAGCAGCCGCAGCCTCAGCCGTTGGTCTGCAGGCCATGGTGGTTCATGGCTAGTTGTCATTCTTACACATGTAAGCCGAGCAGAGTGCCTAAAAAATTCAATGAAATTCAGGCGGACCCGTGGCCGCGGTGAACCTGCGAGACAGGACCACTGTCACGAAAGATCACGAGATCAGCTGCTGGCAGCTTCGGTGTGCGTGTCGCTCGCCAGAGTTCATGTGTATGTGTATGTGCGTATTAGACTCGCTGTCGTGGAGTTGCGACTTCTGCGCTTGTCGGCCAAGGTGGGGCAGACTGGGCTGGCCGAGAAGATGTTTCTGATGGTGTAGATATGATGCGGCAATATTCCAAAGGGGTTTGGGCTATATGCGGCCTGGAATCTCCCGTTTTTTTTTGTTGTTCCCAGCCGGCACCTGTACCACGGAATCGAAAAGTGTGCCGCCGTGCTCTACTCTTCTTGCGTGGTTCGACTGAACAGACTGGGTTTCTTACCATTGAGTCCCACTCTGGCGACAGAAAACTCTCGAGTTTCTCCAGGGTGTTTCGGCGTGTCGGTAAAGTCATAGAGCATTCGTCATTGTTTTGGCCATTCTCTGAGGCTGGAGCAGATGTGTGGGGAAATCGAGGCTGGGCGCCACGCCAAGCATCTCAGCTTGCTTTTTTGAGCGAACTCTGTAAGAGGCTGACATTTCGTTGACAACCGCGATCCCGTCCTGCACTAAGTGCAGGGTGTGACATTGGCAGACTGCGTCTACCGGAGTCTACCGTCAAGCGGTTGCTAAGTGTCTCTGGGTTTGAAGGCCGAAGCGGAAAGCAGAGGCATCGCATGAGCAATCGAACAAGCGCTCAATGCTGGATCAGGTGAGTTGCAATGCAGTCCTGAGACGATTTGCCTGTTCTCGTTCGATGGGTGCAGGAGCACAGCCATATGGGGCATGGGCCTCTTCAATCTTCGGCACCAACACCTCCACCTGTTGATATCTCACAGGACTTGCTGGGGCGTTCACAGTCTTATGCAACATTCGTAGTTATTTGCGAGCATCTCGTGCTTGAGTCGGCGTGCAGCTCAGTGCCAATGCCTTGACTCTGAAGGATGTGCCGATGCATCTGCCGACGGAAGAGACTCAGGCAGCTCCACAGTTGTCAATGATCCTGTCTAGGGTCTGCAGCACCCAGCACATGACGACTTGATCACCAAGATGTATGTAAATTCTAGCGGTGCTCTCTGTAAGGGTGTTTACCTTGAGATACATTGACGTTTCGGAGACGAATCCCATTGCATTTCGTGCAGCTTGTTCCCACCTCATCAGAGAACTGGCAGCGGGCATCTTTGAGTTTCCGATTTTAGATTCGATCCAGAGCCAGACACTTTGTGCTGACCGTGCCCCCTAAGCACGAACACGTTGATAGGGGCTTTACAGCTGCTTTCCAGAAGTGAGATGTCGTTCAAGCTCGCGACCGTTCTGATGCTGCGTGCATATTCAAAGAATGATCCTACCCTTCGGGTTGCTTCCTTGGTAAGGTAAGCGATGTAGTTGGGGATGCTTTCCAAAACGAAAACCTCCCATGTCTGCACGCGTCAGGGATACCAGTTCTAGGACTCAGCGAATGGCCCTAGCCAGAACAGGGCTGTCGTCAAGGGCATGAAAGATTGTGAAAGGTACAAGATCCCTAACAGGGACACCCGTGCGGATCCTGCAGCAGCATACAGACTTGTTGCGTGTCAGGCCCCTTGAGGATCAGAGTGCGTGCCCAACGGCTCTTTTGTTCAGACTCGTTGCACGATGCATTGAGCTGTGCATTGCATCACTTCCTGCTTCAAGCCACTTTGACCGCACATCCCACGAAGTGGCCACGGGCTTTCTCCAGCAAGTCCATTTTGGGGCGCTTGGCACGGGGCTACCGTTGTCAGTGCTGCACCATCATGGTGTGTTTGTCTTGTCGGGGAGACATCGAAAATGGACCCATGTACGTGCTTCACGGTGAAATCACGGAGGCGTGGTATCAGATTAGCACGACCTTGATGAGCAAAGGTTGTACCAAAGCATGGGTCTCCCCATGTAAGGCTAAACTGGCTGGATTCCGAATCTTTCCGGTGTTGCCCCATGCCCCATGGACACACTCCAGGAGTGGCACTTGGATTGAGATCACCCTTCTGGCAGTCGTTTCGTGCAGTCCATGACCTCTTCTTCTTTGCTGCGCTCCGTTTGTCGATGTTGTCGTTTTCCAACTGAAACTATTTTGCCTTGCAGTCGAGGTTGGACATGTTCTCCACTGCAGCGTGCTATCGAATCCCACACCTTTTTTCTCCGAAAGAATGTTGCCCTTAGATGCCCCTAACTTAAGATTATCTTGTTGTGTCTACGGCTACTGGCCAAAACGACGCGATACTGGCGCATGTATCGCTGTCCATTTGGCTTTATGTGGCAACAGGCAACGCTCGGCAGGGTGCAGTAACAATAGTTGCTTTACAAGAAGGGCTTCCTGCCAAACTTTACTGGTCTCTGCCCCTCTCAACATTGAATGGTCTTTCTTTGTTGCTGTTCGACTCATTGTGTCAGCCTCATGTCTCAGGCACGGGCCCCGGGCCCAACCAGGTCCACAACCATGGACGTCAATGCCCGATCCGAACAGGTGCGACATTGTGTGCCGTGTCTTTTGCAAGTCCCAACGTCTTGTGAACTTATTTGCAAGCGATTTGCAGGTGGACGTGCCTGAGACCCCGAGCGACCTGCTGGATCAGGGCCCATGCGAAGTCGAGCGAGATCCGGAGGGCGGCCTGTGGTTCTTCCTGATCGATGCCGTTGAAGACGACCGAGCCAGCCCGCCCCGAGTCTATCTTTTCGGCAAGGTGAAGGTCCGCTCGGGCTCGGCAGAGGCGTATCGCAGCTGCTGCCTCGTGGTTGAGAAGCTGGAGCGTTGCTTTCATTTGCTGCTCAAAGTCGAAGATCCTTCGGACTACGAGTCGGCGAAGATAGCTGCTAATGCAGCTGCCGTTGAGCTTGAAACTCTGAGAAAGGAGAAGTTTCAAAATCTGAAGGTGATCCGCAGCAAACTAAAATATCGGAACTATGCCTTTGAGAAGCCTCTTGGGCAGGCTTTGGGAAACCTGCCTTTTCTGAAAGTTGTTTGCGAGGCGGCAGGCTCTGTGCCGCCAGTTGGCCTGGCAGGTGATAACTTCACACACAGCTTTGGCATCCAGGCCAGTCTCCTTGAACGGCTTCTGCTGACCAGACGTCTGATGGGTCCGTCGTGGTACCGACTTCATCCGGATTCATTCAAGGAGGAGCCTGCAAGGCTTTCGCACTGTGCCACAGAGTTTCGCATCACTCCGGCTTCAATACAGGTGCCCAAGACGGAGACAGAGAAAACACAATGGAACTCACGCATGCCAGCATCAAGCCCTCCCTTGCGAGTCCTGAGCGTGAGCCTGCAGACGTTCCAGCAAACGGCCCAACTGTCGCATGAAGTCCTTGCAATCGGTTGCAGCTTGCATCCAACCGTAAGTGCTGATGCCTCTGCAAGTGAGTCCGACCTTGAGAATTCGCGACGAACCTGGGCAGCGATTCGGCGTTTGGATGCCAATCCATTTCCGCGCGATGCCGACAAGGTCCGATGTTGAAAGTTACTAGCATTCGCCACTCTCGAGCAACACGGACCGAGTCGCAGTAGATGGGGCTAGCTGAACCGGCCTCGTTCTGATGAAGAATCTCTCGCAGGCACTCGCCGCTGGTGGCTTCCACAGCTATAACAATGAGCTTGCGTTGCTCAATGCCTTCTTGTTGAAGGCTCGCTGCATCACGGAGGAAGAAGCCAATCCATGCAGCGTGGTAACTTGCAAACAATCTCCAAGAGGCTTAACTTGAAGTGGGTGCTCACGGTTGATTGCGAGTGTGTGCCGGTTTCAACGTCAAGAGCCTGACAGCTGCAAGGGCATTCGATGCATTGAACTGTGGCGGCAGGTGCAGGAGTTTGATCCGGATGTGATTGCAGGCCTCAATCTGACCAGGTGCCTCCTACAGCCAAGCGAATGAGTTTCGATGCAGGCCACAACGTCTTCTCCGTCGATCTGGATGTCTTGAGCTCGCGGCTACATCAGTTCGGGCACTCAGTGTGAACACTCTTGTTGGGGAGATGCTCGGATCATCTTGACAAGCTGCGCTTTGGAACAAAGGCTCAAGGTGCAGAATTGGCACAGACTTGGGCGCTTGCGTCGTTCGAAGGACGTCTCCTTGCAAGCTCAGCCTGTCCACGAAATTCCACGAGGCACTAATCGGCTCTTCCTTGAAGGACCGCGTGCCGCGAAATGAGGGTCGGCAAGCTCAAGGATTTTGGGTAGCGTTCCCGGCTTGAACTGTGCAGCTGTGGCAATGGCAGATGTGCGAGATGTAGAGTCGGGTGCTTCAGGCAGGCACGAGTTTGGCGGCTGGCAGATTGGACATTCTCTCAGCTAAACTTCCAAACTGTGGTGAGAATTGGAGTCTTCAGCCTCTCCTCAGAAAGCTGCAGATATTCTCAGCACACACCTCGGCAGAGTCCCAGCGATTCGTCGTGCAAGGTGTGCGACACCGCTTTGCAAGCGAAGGATTTGCTTCCGAAGCTCGGATGCCTCAGACTCGGCGTCTTACTTCATCGTGTGAAGGTGAGGCTAGTCGTCGACGGGCCTGCAGTCGCACTGCAGTACGAGCCATTCCTAGATGCATACCTTACAAGCCCTGCAGGTTCACCTGCTTTGCATGCTCTGTTTGCAGGTACCGTCGCAACAGTTCAGTGTTCTTGTAATTGGATGTTGCTTGCACCGTTTCAGCTTATGATAACGCTGCTATGTTGCTAGGGGTGTTGGAAGTTCGAGATGTCGGATGGCGGTTGAGGCTATGACCTCGCCAACCTGGCGAAAGAGCAGTTGGGATCTACAGATGTGAAGATTGTACGCCGCTCGTACAGATTTGCAGATGCATCAGGGTCTGTTTAAAGTTGACGCTCAGGTCGAGCCTGAAGCTATTGCGGAGTATTACGATTCTGCGAGGTTCCCATCGGAGTTTCGATACGGATCTGGCATGTCTAGAAAGTGTTTCTTCCATCAGAACAGTCATGCTGAGACCAGGCAGCTGGTTCCGAGAATGCAGATTCTTGGGCAGGAGTCTGCTGAACCTGCTCCAACTCAAGACAGTCGATGCCTACTGCATAGCTCGGATCGCACATTCCTTGCAGATCCTGTGCGGACCCCGCATATGCTGAATGCTTCTTGTGCTCTGTCATGCTCTGTCTGACGGATTTGTTATGCCTTGCTGGACTTTACCATTTGTGAGGAACTTGGCTCAGCTACGGGGGGGGGCAGGCTGTAGAAGAAATGCCATGTCAGGGATGATCGTCCGCGGTGCAAATGGCTCACCGCACGAACTTGCCTCAGTCACCATTCGGAGTTGTGGCAGGCAACTGTGCAAATAGCCGTAGCAGGCAGCAAGAGCATATAATGTACACATTTGCCGCAGGAGCAGCAGCAGCATCAACAGCAGTAGTGGCAGTAGCAGCAGTAGTGAATTTAGTGGTAGTGGTAGTGAGGATAGTTGTAGTATGTTGTTCCAGTACTGGTTTCCGTGGTGGTGTTGTTGGTGGCGACTAAGTCGCAGTCGTAGCAGCAGTCGCAGTCGTAGTGGTAGTGGTAGTCGTAGTCAGCGGTAGTCGTAGTAGTCGTAGTAGTCGTCGTAGTGGTAGTGGTTGTAGTAGTTGTAGTCGTCGTCGTGGTGGTAGTGGTAGTGGTAGTGGTAGTGGTAGTGGTAGTGGTAGTGGTAGTGGTAGTGGTAGTGGTAGTGGTAGTGGTAGTGGTAGTGGTAGTGGTAGTGGTAGTGATAGCGGTGGTAGTGGTAGTAGTTGTTGCGCCACCGAGGCAGCCAATTTTGAAGACAAAAGGCATTCAAAAACCTCCCCCGACCAATAAGCTTAAAGCTTTTCAATACGAAGAAATCTCATCTCAATTGGAAGGCAGGCAAGGGAAGGAGGGAAGGAAGGACGAGGAGGGGGGGAAGGCACCCGCCATCGCCTAACCAAGGACAAAGTTTAAGAAATGTAGGCAGCCGCCATCCCTGTCAGGACTTGAGGCACTTCGAGTGCATCGAAGGCACCATCCCAAAAATCGTTAACGCACAGCCTCTCCAAAAACTTGGCCATGCCAGGTCGAAGACAAACATGTCGCAAACTTTTCAATGAATCTGAGCTCCCCGGTAATGCGGCCGACTTGGGACTGGAAACAACGCGATCGGAAGCGAACATCTGCACCGCCGCAGATTTGTTTTGTTGGCCAGAAACGTGCCAAAGGTTTGTTCTTGACAGGCCAATGCACACTACTGCTACTACTGCTGCTGCTAGTGCTAGTACTATTACTACTACTACTACT